CACAGGAACTCATCCAGGTGGGTTTTGAATGTCTCCAGTGAGGGAGACTCCACAACCTCCCTGGGCAGCCTGTTCCAGTGCTCTGTCACTCTTACAGTAAAAAAAAATTTTTGGATATTCACCTTGAACCTCCTATGCTCCAATTTGCACCCATTACCCCTTGTCCTATCACTGGTCACTTGCATGGCTCCAGCAGTTGAAGGGGACTGAAATGGCAACACCCTGATGCAGCAACTCCCTGAGCTCTCTACTTTAAGGCAAAAGCTTGTCTCTTTGAGAGGGGTGAGCTAACACCATTTACCCTATATAAGAGAGAAAATGCCCTGGTTCCTCTGTCTGTCACTGCCTGGGGCATGTGGGGTCCCTCAGGGGAGCATGAAGCACCCATGGTTATTATTCCCACAGTTGAAAGCCCTGACTCAGCCTCCCTGACAGCTGGGGTGGGGGGGGGGCAGGGCGTGCTCCCTGCACAGGGACTGGCTGCTTCATGCTGGAGATGGGGCTCAGGGCAGCAATGGTGCAATGGAGGGAGGCCTCTCAGAACCACCAGTACTGCTTGCTGCTCCCAGTGACTGTCCCTCCCAGGTTGAGAAGCATGGGGCACCAACCCAAAAGCAGGGTGCTTTTCCTGGCACAGAGAGATAGGGACTATCTGAGGAGGAGGAATCTGACCCTGCTCTCACTTTGGTACAAAAGCATTTTCATTTCATTCTGGAGTAGTGCACCCACAGGATTTCACAGAGAAAGAAATTAAATTTCCATACTTTGACTAGCAACAGGGAAGAAAATACTATTTGTATCATGTCTAGTACACCTATTTCTACATGCATAAATTATTTCTGCAAGAAATTTACCAGCCTAAACATCCGAACCCCCCCTACTTTTTCCCTGATTGCTGCCCTTTTTCCTCCCAAACGTACAAGCTCCTTCCCAGAAGAAGGGCTCCCTGTCTGGAGCTGCTGCTTCAGCTGCTCTTCAGGCAGCGCTCCATGCGGCTCTGCTGGGCAGCTCTGCATGCATGCCAATCACACCCCTTCACTGGAGGAGTTTCCCAACAGTTCGTGAACTACGCCAAGTTTTTCATACAGATGAAAGGGGTTTTCACTCCCAGGCGGCTGGGAAGAGTTGTGCTCAGGCATTCCAAATTATTTAACTCCACATCAAGGGAAACGTATTAGCTCCATCGCTTTCCACTGGAAGAAAAAGAGTCTATTACCATTACCAGCCAAGAGTTGCTTTTCACAACACGCAGTAGGAATCGACGTTCACGTTGTTAAGAGCCATGGATTAAAGTCCTGTTGATGACCACTTAGTGGGACTTGCACTAAACTGTGGAAAATTATAATAAAAAAGTATATTTTTCCCAGTGCAATGAGCAACTACAAAAGGAGGTTTCGAATGCAAGTTTCTTTGTAAGCCCCTCTTGTAACTAGACAGTACCATTCACTGCTTCTAATATCTACAACTTACACCCAGGAGCCTGCACACTCACATATTTTCTGTTTTATACCCTGAAAAAAAAGATATTGAGTACATATCAGCTAACACCCACACAGCATTCTTCCTAATATATTTCTACAACTACCAAGCAGAGGTCTCCTTGAAAATAAAAGCAGTCTCTTAAATTTATATTGCACTCTTCCTCTGCAGGGACTTCCATACTATGTACAGGAATAATCTCCACCATCACTGAAATGCAGCTACTTCTGGAGTGGAATAAAGCAGCTACTCGATAGGCACAGCGCAACATAAAACATCAGGAAGAGAAACATAATGTTTGGACTGCAACAGATATTTAAGAAGACAGACTGTAATTAAGTTTAAGGACTATAATTTAGCCAGAGCACTGTGAAAACTGTGAGGGGATCTTTAAATGCAAGGGGTATGGCTTCGTATCTCACTTGGCTGCATTACCACCACCAGGAGAATCAGTCCCTCAGGCAGGGGTAGTAAACCACACATACCACTGCCCTCATAGAGGAGGGACACTGACCTCACCCCCTCATCAGTGCACAGCTTCTCATCCTTGCCACTGAAGTGCCTATTTCCTCTGCTACACTCTCCTGGCTTACATGCCATGGAGATTAGGTCTGTCCTTTAATCCTTGGTACTTCTAACAAGCCGAGGCACTTGGGTTAATGACTTCCCCCCAAACTGACCAACAGCTGAATCTCAGCCACAGATAAAGAAGCAGAAGTCCAAGCTGGAAGGGGCTCCCTGAGACTTTTTCTGAAGCTGATGGGCCCATGCCTGACAGCAGGAGAAGGTTTCACTGCTGTCTGGGGTGACCTGCTTGCTCTACCCTGGACCCACTGCCACCAAGAGGCTTCTTGCCACCTGTGCTGTGGGTCTGGTGAGGCACTTACATCCTTCCTTGCAGGAGCTGGCAGCAGGGCACAGACACCCTCCCTACAGCTGTCTCTTTCTAAATATGTGGTGTCCCTTTGCTGGCACTTGTCTCACAGAAAACACTTTGTGCATGATCCTGAACCTTCAGGCTGTACCTCCCAAGCCCCACAGCACCTCTGCTGCCCACCAAACATCAGCAAAACATGTTTGTGCAACCCTGGCTAAGCAGTCAGTAGAAGAAAGGCCACAAGGGTCTCTGCCTCAGAGCCTAGAAGGTGAGATGGCTGCTCTGGGTTCTCTCTTACCAATGTGGAAATGCTCCTGTCTCCACCTTCTGCCCAGAAAGCAGAAGCCCCATGGAACCAGCAAAACAAATATTTTGCTGCTGAGAGGTCAGGAGCCACCACGAAGCACCCAAGGAAAGCACTGTCTCTCTCCCAGGAGTGAAAGTGTAATCCTTTCAGGAATGGGGTGATGACTTGTGGTCTCCAGCAAAGCATGGAAGAAAGGAAGAGCATAGGACTAAAATAACGGCTAAAAGATGATGGTGGCACTGGCTGCCCACAAAATGGCAACAGACCGGAAAAAGCAGAATTGCTGTTGGCACCTACAGCATCCCACAACATTGCCTGGCCCTGGGGTACAGCCATAGGTCTCCTGGTTTAACATGCAGTGTGACTGAGGTCTGGGCTCTGGAGGGAAGAGTGGAGACAGAAAAGACACAGTTCTCACTCAGAAGTGGAGAAAAGCAACAGGAGCCAGGGAGACCCATACTATCCCCCTGTGAGGTTTCCTGTCCTTTGTCTGATAGTGGCCGGGGAGCATTAGAGCAGATGAATGCCCTTCCAGGAGCTAGAGAGCAATGGGTTTTGAGACTTCAAACTGAATCTCTTGGGAGTTACATAAGCACTTTCCACCTCTAACAGTGGAAATGAGGCACCAGCTGCTGCTGGAAGCTGAGCAATGCAGGAGGCAGCCAATACATTCAGGTCATTTTAGACAAACGCAGTTGTCTCAGAGAAGTTGGTACATCAATCAGAAATGGGTAAGGAGCCACGGGTACCAGGGGGTCTGATGAGAGAGCGAGCTCATCATACATCTGTGGTTCTCCAGATAGAAGGTTCCAATGGAGTGTACCTTAGAGGAAAGAGTCCCACTCACTTGAACTGCCAGAGCATGGGCTAGTAAACTCCAGCTCACAGCCACATGTGGCTAACTCTGCCCTGTACAGGGAGATAAGTCACGCCCAGAGCTGCTTCAGTTGCACCAGAGCTGTCACAGCTCCCCCTTGGCCAGTGCAAGGCAGACCCTTCTCCTGGGGGTTACTCTGGAACAGCACGTGCCTCCACCTTGAGAAGGTCAGGCCAGACCTGCTAGAGGCCTGCAGCAGGGAGAGGTGGCAGCTTCACCTTCTCATGATGCCAGCGGGAAACAGGTGAATCACCCCCACCCCTGTTCCCGTTCCTCAGTGGTTAACAGGGCCACAGTTCAGCACAAGCCCCTCTTTCGGGTCAAGCTGCCTGTCTCTATTGTTCCTGGGGCACGTTCCCATCTGTCTCCCCTTCCAGCTCCTGCTTTGGCAGTGCCTGGGATACTGCAAGTGCTGACAAAACTCAGCCACCTCCTGCCCGTGCAGTGATGCTGTTGCCACACGCTGCCCACCCTGCAATGGACAAGCTGTGTGTGCTAAAAGGCCTCAGAAGGTGAGAGGGAAGTATCGGAGCTGCCTGAACTGCTGGCCCAGGGGCTGGGTCATGGGAACAGGACCCGCTGTCTGGCTGAAGAAGGTTTAAACACCTGATTCTTCCCATAATCCAAAAAGCCTGAAGTGGGGGAAGGTAAGCAGTGGAATAAAAGGCCAAAATGAGCAGGTAACAGAAGAGAGGCAGCAAAAAATCCTGGCCTTAAGGCTGAGGCAACTGTCATCCCAGCAATCACCGGGGAAAGCCGGTGTATGGCTTCTCCCCCTTTCCCATCCCATCCCAACCCATACCTCAGCCCCACAGAGACACCTTTCTGTCTGCAGCTCAGACCTGTTCTTATAGGTTCTCCACCCAGCAAGAGTGCTGAGAGAGAAACAGGAGCTCAGAGGCCAATGCTGCAGCCAGATCCAGCCGGGACTTCTCCACCACTCAGCACAGTCCGTGTGATGGGTCCATTCCCGCTTCATCTTCTTCAGGCTGGTGGGTGAGAAGCACAGAGCAGTGGGGAGAAGGCCAAAGCAAACCGCACAGGGGACAATTAAATACATGAGAGCCTGGAAGATGGGATGGATGGATGGATGGATGGATGGATGGATGGATGGATGGATGGAGATACTGAAGCACATACGGTGCAAGCAAGGTGCTCCGGGCACCGGCAGGTCGAGGCTGGCATTGCTGCAAGGAGCTGCAGCTGGAGCAGGGCAGCCCCAGCCAGAGGGAACACATGGGGAGACAAGGGGAGTACTGCGGTACATCATCCACCAGGCTGTGAGCTCTGCAGTAAAGAAGGTAACTGTTCTGGTAGAAATTTGTGCTTTAATATATTTTTGTTTGTTTGTTTAAAACAAGTTCCCACTTCCCTGAGGAAGCCCTGTCCGACATTCCCAATGAAACATGGGGGTGGTTTTTAACTCCTTCATTTGCTCTTCAGATTTCTTCATTCCTATGTTTTTGTCTTCCATTCCTTCATTTCTGTGTGTTCCTGTTTCCTTCCTCTCTCACTCCCTCTCTCTCTCATACACATGCTTGTAAAAAAAAAATATTGTCTTTATTTTAAAATTTCGTTCTAGACATTATGACTTTCTCAAGGAGTGCTCCAGTTCTGAACCAGATCCCTTTGTGTGGTCATGCCTGTCAGTCTTTGGTAACATATGGACACTTTGGTGTGCCAGTGAGGAGGGGAGGAAGAGGAGCAGAGGTGGCTGAGTAGGGAAGGAGCAGGGATGTCTCAGTCCGAAGACAGGAGCGCTCACTTGCCATCATCTGAGCAGCACGTAAAGGAAGAAAGTCAATGGGCCAGAAAGACCAGGGCTGTGCAGGGCTGGGACACTGCTTCCTGGAAGAGCAACAGCTGCCACCCAAGGAGAGAGAAAAAGAATTAGTGATGGGACAGATCCAGACCTCATCAAAATAGACAGTGCACATTAGTGTCTCAGCCTCTCCTCCCAGCCCAAACCATCAAGCAGATCTCTGTAGCCTTCCTTGGATATTCTCAAATCTCCCCATATTATTTATTTTCAAACTCAGGAGCAAAGGTTGAATCTTAGTTATTTTTGCAATCCAACCCTCCTTTCTTCCACAGAACATTCAGCTTGAGTAAGACAAAAGGTTCTGCTTGTGCTTTGGTTACACCTTGGCCATCTTAGGCTGAAACAGACTTTTAACTGCACCTGACATTTTGAAATTTTAGGATGCTCTGACTTGTTGATGCTTTGTTTCCCCCTTCACCTTTGTTTTAATAAAATTGCTGAAAGCAGCTCTTCCTCAGCAAGGTTTTTTTCCTTCAAAAATAAGTAAGACAAATCAAACCTTGCTCACATGTGCCTGTCTGCCTCTGATTTGCTACTCTGAACATCTGCTCTCCTGCCAACCTGAAGCATGTTATTGAGGGCACAGGCAGGACTTAGGCATGATGCTCACCAGTGATTCCCACCCAAGGACTGATGCCTGTGTACTGCTTGTGCAACTTGATGTGGCTGCAATCCATGGTCCACCTCAGAGAGAGTGGGATTGTCTCCATTTCTGCAATGCTGGTATCAAGCTGATGTGGATAGACTGGAAAGGGGCTGGTAGGATTTAGCTCAAGCATGCATTCTTAGGACTGGGAGGGAGATGACACAGTGCTTGGGTCTCTTGCTTGGATCCTGCGTGTGCAATACCTTGCCTGGCTGTGCCTTTCTGCTCAGAGGGCAATGGGAAGAAGTCCAGCCCTCCCTGGGTCCAGGCCCTAGAAGGCAGAGTCTGTTTCCTGGAGAAGGACTGACTTAATGCTGCAGAGGCAATTAGAGCCTGCAGAAGGTCCTTCCCTTTCCAGAGCTCCCATACCGAGAATTTCCAGGAAATGAGATCCTGTAGAAGCCTTTAGCTGCCTGAGGATGACACTGTCAACCCAACAGACTGGTGTAGATTTCAGCATACTGGTGTCTGGCAGCACAGTCCCTACAGGATCTGGTTGCTCCTCTGAGCTCTTGCTAACTCGTGACACTGAAAAACAAATTCAAGAGTCTGACAGCCTGCCTTCTGCCTTCTGCTGATGGTGTCAACCACCTTGTTGAGTCCCTCCAACATGTCAATATGCTCTGAAATCAGCTGCATGTCCCCGGCACACGCATTCATGTAGGCACTCCCACCAACTTGTTTTCCTCTGAGGCACGCACGGTCTCACCCTTGTTTGGTCCAATTTGCTTCCTTGGACAGTCCCCCTTTTTCAGAGTGACATCATCGATGGCAATGTCCCCCTCGTAGCTCGTGCCCCGGACACCTTCGAAGATGATCTGCAAGCAGAGCATGGGACAGAGTCCAGTGTGAGGCTGCAGTTGTGAAGGACCCTTCCCACACTGTGGGGCTCTGCAGAGGTGAGCAGGGCATAGCCCAGATCTTAACAGATCCCTCAGATTCCTTCCTGTTTCCCCAGTACTCATTGAATCTGGAGAGCTGGTTCCCACTGGTTACAGGACTAACCCCTGCATGCTGAGTGTCTATAGAATAATAAATAAGCATGTAGAGCTCTGCTTTATTAAGTCTGCTGCACTAACCAACCAACCCATGCCGAACAGTGCTCACAAGAGTAACTAAATTCTTATTTATTATTTTAAAGTACCCAAAAGCATGCTGGGCATTTTGCCATAGTGCCACAACATAGCAGCCTGCACAGACAAACAACCCTACAACAGGAAAGCAACACGCTGAGCAAAAACATCAGCAATAAACCATCCAGCACCAAAGCAGCCTGCCTCCTGGGTAAGCAGAAATGACTGGATGAGCAGATAGAGAGTGTCCAGCTCATATTCACAAGCTGCCCCATGGTCCTAAACCAGGGGGACAGTGGGGGTGGGCTCTTTCAGCGCACACTAGGAGAAACCTTTAGTGCTCAAACTCACTTTACAACAACAGGCCAGCTCAACAGGCTCATCTGCTCAACACCATGAGACCCATCTCACAGACCTGGTACTAGAAGGGGCTCTTTGACAAGCAGTTTCTGAACAGGAAATAATCAGAAAATATACAGTGCCAAACTGATGCTTGCACATAAGGACATTAGATGTTGTCAGAGATGAGTGGAATTGATTTCTGTGCATCTACCAAGTTCTTACTTCACCCCAGTGATTCTGGGGGTGGAGAGCTCCCAGGCTCAACCTGTTGAGCTTGTTGGGCTTCCCTGTGTCCGACAAGCCCCTGTGCCACAGATGCAGATGTCTGCTGGGAAGACTTCTACAGTCCTGAGTACATGGACAGGACAGGTGAGGGGGAGCTCCTTGGTGGTGGACCTGACTTACCTGAAAGGGCCCAGGCGGGTTGATGGGCACGTGTGCTTGTTGCCACATGTTCCCCCGGTTCCCACTGAGTGACCAGACCTGGGTATCAATGGCTCGCTTGTTCCGCACACGAACTAGCAGATTCAAGGAGCCTGTAAGAGAGAAACCCTTCCTTCTGGGCTGGCCTCTGACATAGCTCTGGGGCTCAGCCTCGAGCTACAGCAGTATGCCCCAGCCAGCCCAGGAACAGCCTGCAGAGCCCCAGCAGCAACCTCTGGAGGGACCCATCTTTCTCCTAGGTTCACAGGTAAGCACCACTGGCCACGTTTCATTCATCTGGGCTACCCAAGGGAGGACACAGACTCAGATGAAGACAGACAAGGAAGATGTGGCACAAGAAGGAGATGGCAGAAGTGCTATCTGCAAGGAACCTCCAAAGGCATCCCATCCAACCTTCTGCTTGAAGTTGTCTCCAGCTCTACAGGAGGGCAAAATGGCTTTGCCTGGCAAAGTCTTGAAATCTCCTGAAGAAATAAACTTTTCCTAATGTCCAATACGAACCTCCAGCACTACCAGTTGTGGCTGTTGTTCCCTATTGGATTGTCTAACACTACTGATAAGATTTTGGCTCTGTTATCTTTGACATTTCCCTTCAAACAGCTGGGAGCCAAGGACTGATAGCAGCCTTGTCTTTGACAGACTAAGCAAGTCCAGATCCCTCATCCTCACTTCCCCAGGACTCCTGCTCCTGGCCCTTGATCATCCTGATACCCCTCTGATGGACCCACATCAGTTTCTCTACATCTCACTTGAACTGGGGAGCCCAGGCCATGGGTTTGCCTCTCCCTGTTCACCACTAACACCTGACATATGCCAGGCACCTTAGAGCCCTCTACCTGTCCTGGCCTTGGCCATCAGCTGAAGAAAAATTACTTGTGTCCTCAGCTACCACTAGCCTTGGAAGCAGCCTTGGAGTGAGCAGCCACTCTTTGCTAGCACTGCACAGTGTTGCCTGTACCACACTGCCTCTATCATCCCACCCCCAGGTTTTCAGAGTGACCCAAAGACCCTGCAAACCAACACTGACTTCAAGTTCTTTCAAATAAAGCAATTCCCAAAAGGTTTCACCTGCCATTAAACCAAAACCAAAGCCAACAAATCTCAAAGCATTTTCAGTTCTCACTTTGCAAAGTGTCACAGCCCCCTGCCCTCCACCCACAAAAGAAACCATCTCAGTTTGTTTTCCTTCATCATCTTTTGAGTAGTTCCTCAGCTGATCCTCTCTGTTTCATTTAAGTGAGAAAACATTTAAAAACATACACCCAGAGTTGACCTGCAACACTTTTTCTCTTTTTCTTTCAATTCAGCTGGTGAACAAAACATCAGCCACAACTCTAGTCACACTGTTGCTCATCATAGTTTCTGGTTTCCATACACAGGCATATTACACCTGAGAGCAGAGAGGTAAAAATAACCCTTACTTAGATGTCCATAGTCTGTCTGTGTTTGGGATGCTGTGTTCCCACCTGGACACGCCCTTCTGAGAGGGAGCATGGGAAGAGACAGGGAAAG